AGCCTGCTTCCACCTCCTGCCTGAAAAAATCACCATCCTGAAAATATATCCTTGTGCCGTAGTCTTGTCACCAGACAAGACTATACCAGGAAGTTCTGACACCCACTAGATTCAAGTTTTTCACAGCTTGCGGTACCCTCTAGGAATCACTCAATCCTGTTTAGAGAGCCGGGAAGCAAGGAAAGGTCTCGCCGTACCTATGGTGGTGTCCGGCTCATGATCCCCCGCTCCACAGATTAACAAACACAGTAGCTGTGGACACATATGCTCCCAGACTCTCGCATGTGTGAAATACTGCCCAAACCTCAAACTATCACACAAGTTAGTTAACTGAGGTTTCATAACTACCCAGGCAAATACAGTAACTTCTGAGTTCAACAACTCGACGACAAGCACAAGCTCCACCTCAAGAGAGAATTAAAGCCTGTATCCCCTCTCTCCACTACCACCTTTTGTAAATCGACCCTGTGATTAAAAAAACGCACATCATGAAACTTTGTAAGGAAAGCACCTAGCTGAATTTGTAACGGCAAAATCTCAGACTACGTTTTTCATTATCAGAGAGAGATAAAGCCTCTGTCACTTCCCAACCTCATCTTACCTTACAAAAACAATACTTTAAATTTCCCCAATAGCAAATTGAAAACAAGAGGAAGACATTGTTAAATTGTTTTTGTTATGAAAAGTTTTTTGTTTTGTTTTTACAACATAATTAGTGTCTACTTCGTTTTGTCTTGCTTCTCACTAATCCTGTTCCTATGCCATCACTTTTTCCCATTTCTTCTTTCTCCTCCAACCTTGGATATGTCATTATTACTTATATACTACTTTTCAATAGAAATATATATGTATACACATATATTCAGCTAGCTGTTTGTCCTAATTTTCAAATATCTAGATTTATTGTCTAGTGCCCTTTAGACTTCCTTCCTTCTTTTTGTTGCTTTGGACACATACCAGTTTCCTCCTTGTCTATAGGTTAAAAAAAAAAAAAAAAAGCTTTTAAAAACAGCAGCTAGGCTGCCATATTTTTACTCTTTTACTTGTTCAGTTTTCCAAGGTGCTTCTCTGCATTACACATAATGTAAGGGTGTAAGAGTGATGAGTGTAAGAGAATGATTCAGGCCACTGTGCCGTTCTTCTAGAGATCACAGTTTTGAAGGAACTGTGACAACTCTCACACAAATCATTTTAAAATGTTACTAATATTTTCTAATTAAAAAAAAATCTGCACTGATGGTCTTTAATAAGGAGTTTTTAAGAACCAATGTATTACTATTTCATAATTCCTTTGTTTTTGCAGGATATAGAGCAAGTTTTCTTCAGGAAGGATATGGATTAATAATAGATGGAGAGGAAGAACATGACTAGTGAGTGGACTTACACCCTCCGAAACCTCAGTGGATGTGAGGGTGTTTCCAAAAAGTGTATTTCTGAAATTCTGACATGACTCCATAGCATAGATGATCATTTAAACAGGCAGAATTTAAAAGTTCTCTACTATTGCTGCTACCAGAATGTTTGATGGATTGAAACCCCCTTCAGCACAACCCCAATTCCTAAAGCTCACAAGGTGTAATCTACAGTACAGATGGAACAGTAACTAAATAAGTTGTGAATTTCTTTTTTGTTTGCTTGCTTTTTATTTTTTGTAGTTGCACTACGGCTGACTAGTACTTTGAAGAATGATATCAGCCGTTCTGATCTTCATGAAAAGATGTGACCTAAGTAAAATAATATTGGACTTCAGCTTTCTAGTATATATAATGAAACCAGCAGTTCATGAAGCTGCATGCAGCATTTGCTAACTTTTTAAATGAATGCCTAAATACTCTTTTGCACAGCTTGGATCTTTTTTGACTCTGCCAGGTTTCAAAGCCAGGTTTTCCGTTCTGTCAATAGATACTATTTTCTAGGCCAAATGGACCAGATGGACTTATTCAGCCTCACAAATAGGTGTGGTGCTGCAAAAATACTCACATCTTCAGAAGAAACAAGAAAAATTAAACTTTCAGAAAGGGGGAAGGAGCTGGGGAAAATCTTTTCTCTTTACTAAGATGTAAACTCAACTTGATAAGCACATATCTCCCCTTATTGCTGTAAAAGCATATCATCTTCAGCATAGTGTCATACTTATCTTCTGAAAATTACCACACACACACAATTTGTCTTTCTGTTTGCCTCAGTCTGTGCTTCATCTGGATTGTCATCCTAAAGCTCCTACATATCTTTTCCTTTACTACAGAAACCCTCTGGCCTCAAAAGTTTCTCATCATCATCAATCCTATCTTGATATTCCTGACTCTATTCTTGCAACTTCTTTTCCCCTGTCTATCTGTTCTCAAATCTTATTTGTACTTAGATATTCTCATTTCTGCATCTTACACACGCATTCTGGTGTCTTTCATTCATGTGGAACACTCTTCTTTGCAGGCTAAATAACTATACTATCCTGAAATACAGACTTTTAAGTTCTAGAAAGAAGCATTTCTGAGAACAAATGTAATTTCTTTTCTTTTCTCTGGCCACTTTGATTCACATTTGAAAAAAAATGTTCTCCTCCTGACCAGAAATACAGCAACACTCAAGATGAAAGAGCAAGTAGACCAAAAAAAATTATGAACTGTAATATAAATTCCCAAGTTATCCATAAGCAATCACAAAATTTTTGCATTATAGTGAACTGAAACTTCTGAAAGCATGTAAATTTGTATATCTTTCTACTGAATTTATCTGCATACTACAGCAAATTAAAACATCTGAATTAACTTCATGTGATTATTCAATATTCACAGTATTCAACTGACCACTGCTAGGGCCTCTACTTGTGCACCTTATCAAACAATCCAGTGATAACAGAACAAATCAAGAATATATCGATATTTTGTGCAAGGTAAGAGCTTGATACAAATATTTCTAATAGGCTACAGTTCCCCCATGCAGCCCCACAGAGGGATTGCTGGCAAGCTGAAGAAGCTGTTGCAAGGTTTGTTCAGGACTACATGCAGATTTATGAACCCAAGTATTAAAGCCTGACAGAGAACTGTAAAGCAAAAGAAAACTGCAGAAAGAATTTTTTTAAGAAAAAAAAAAAAAACACAAATATTCATTTGTAAGCAGTACTTGTACCCTACACTTTAACTGCTACACAGTAAAATTTGTGCTTCACTGAAGACTGGCAACACAAAACTTAAAAACAGCAGACATTAGCAGACATGGGCCATACTATTTAGAACACATATTTAAGTTCTCACGTTCAGAAGGAGAATATTAAAAGATTAATTGTATAAGATTGAATATATTTAACCTTAGGTACTATAAGAGTCAAGAGACTACAAGTGACAGCAAGGATTACCCTGTGTTTCTGTACCAGTATACATTTGTGGTAGCTTGAACACATAGTGTAGTTACCTATAATGTAATCAGTTATGTCTTTAAAAATACCCAAACTTCTGACTGTACATAAAAAATTGCAATTTGCAATTCTATGCAACTAAGAATCACAATCCTGTGTTGATACTAAAATCTGAGATTAGAACTTAGAACTATATCTGAAGGTAACTTCATGTCTTTTACTTCAGTTATTCAATCATTTGATATAATCATTGCCAAGACTATAAAAAACCCTACTGATTAAACTTATTCTAACATAATTTTAGAAAACAAAGGAAGGCTTTGGCTTTAAAAAAAAAAAAAAGGCACGAACAGGATATGCACTGTCTCTTTAGAACTCCAGAATTTCTTTTTCAGAGACTGAATTTCTTGAATTCAGGGTCTTGCGGTTTATATCAGTTATGTAAACAACTCTTGATTAACAGCTTTTCAATATTGCACAAAAAAACTAAGAAAAATATCAGGGTTGAGGGTGAAGTGGATTTCACATAATAGAAAGAGATAAAGGGATATAGCAAAGTGCAAATTCTGAATTTGAAAAGGAATCCTAGAGGACTAAAAGCCCAAGAGAAAAATAACAGTAGGTTGTTGAGGGTATATATGAAAACAAACGTCAGCAAGGAGGAATAGAACATGGAACAGTATGAGTGATGCTCTTCCTGGTATTATCACTCAGATTCACTCAGTGGGTTTTGACTTAAGGAGTTCAAGTCAAGACAAGTCACCTTTCCGACCCTTTTGCCTTCACCTAGGCTGAGCACCTCCCCTTTCCTCTGAACATCATGGTCTCCCTGTATCTTTGCTCACATCCCCAGAGCTCTTTAACCACTCTCATCTACGCATCTTACGCACATGCTGAAAGAAAGTCAAACCAGCAAAATTTACAGAGCTTTTGCGCCCTTGTTGTTATGGGCAGCAACGAAGCCTTCGAGTAAATTAGTGCTAATGGGAAAGCGAAGGATTGCAACAGCTCAGGAACTCTGGGACCATTACAGTAATTGCAAGCAGGGAAAACACATACAGCTAAAATGCAAGGAAAATTATTTACTTTTGCTCATTTAAGTTGTGCATAGGGAGCGGGAAGCTTTTTCATTCAAATTATTTACAGCCTAAATATAACATACAACACATTTATCTTCAAAGCACAAATCCAAATTTTGTTTTTTAGTGGTCATATCATGGCTAAGTCAGAATATCTGCTAACAGAACATTTTCAAAAGCAAACTCTATCTTCACAGAAACTACCATTAGTAGAATTAAGTAATTACTATCTTTTGAACTAGCGGTTTAACATTATTTCTAGCAATCTGTGATGGTGTTGACAGGAGTTTCTGAGAGTTAAGGATACTAACTTAGAGATACTAAAACATTAGCAGGCTATGGTGGCCCAATGTTTGAAAGCAAGAAATTTCCCACTGCTTCAATTTCCTTCCAATACTTAATATTTTCCTTTGGGGAAGTAACCTGTGTTTTATCATAATGATTTCTATTTGCTTCTGGAGTATGAGTCATGCTCTTCAATTATTTTCAGTTGATTGTGTAATTATTAGTGAGAATGGGGTTTGGCTGATCTTTATTATTATTTTTTAATAAGAATTTCTGCTTACCTTCAGGTGAAGTACCTGGCTTTTGAGAAAACACAGAGCTTATTTTGCTCTTCTTGCTGCTGTCACTGTTGACGGACAAGGTAGAATGGATTTTTCTGTGCATTTTTTCCGAAACGGGAGCTGAAAGCTTTCTGTTGTCCGCCGACACGTGCTTGCCCCCACCGTGGATGCCACTTCCATTGCTCAGACCCGCGTGGCCATTTTGCATTTTGCCAGTTTCTTCCTCACCCCTTTCCAGTGCTGAAGTATTTGGCTGAGGCAAACGTGGAGGTTGTGCTTAAAACGAAAGTGAAAGAAGGGGTTAATTTAAGTGGTATAGTGATAACACATTAAGGCAAGCCTGGGAAGGTAATGAAACATGGCAATGGAGGAAGAGAAGAGCAGAGGCTGCGGAGAGGGAAGGCTGCCC